TTTCTATATTATAAGGCAAGTGTATGTTTGTATGGTGTTACAATGTGTATTTTGATAAGTCAAAATTTATCAATGAAATGATAAAAGCGAAAACTTTTCGATAGAAATTTTAGTTTTAAAAGCTCATTTTCATAAAACTACTTATGTTGTTTAAAATATATGATTTGCATAATTTTTATTTTAATATCCTCGCTTTCAGGATTTCGAAAAATGTCAAGCATTTTTTGTTGCAGTTTTATTAAAAGTTTTTCAGAACTCTTCTATGCTATTCCAAGTGATTCTATGTAGACAAAGATATTTATTTCTCTGTTGTTTTTCTTATTTTTAATATTAAATATGAAATATAAATAGAAATTTGTGTAATATTTGTATTGTTTATGGATATGTCTTTGTATTTATATCGTTGTATAATAAAATGTTTGCAGGAGACAATGTTGATTATGTATTCCACTAATTTCAGGGTACATTCAATTCATTACAGAGTATCTCTAGATTCCTTAAGAACACAGCTTTTATTTTAAAACATATATATATTGACTACAAGTTAAAACTTGAAAAATTACTTGTGAGATACAGAGTTTTCGTAATTCTGAACAGCAGTTTTATTATTCTGCTTTTAAGTAGAATAGCACTGTAGGTAGAGAAAAAAATTATTATATATGTTTACATATGTTTACCTAGTTTAAAAATGTATTAATAAGTGGAAACATAGATTGTGCATTGCAAATCTTCAGGACTAAGGGTTTGAACTGTGTAAAAAATATTTTTCTTTACAAAAAACAATTTAAATGAAAAAATTACCTAAAAATATTTTCTTAGTTCATATATTAATAATTTATTCAAAAAATGCATTAGATAGCTAGATATTTATTTAGCTAATTGAATTCAATAAAAATAATAAGATTTGTGGGTATTAATTACCCCTGTAACTAGGTCAATGACCTCTCGTAAGTCTCAATAGACTAAAGGGATGCTGCTGGGTGTATATAAATTGCTGGCCCTCAATTATTGATTCATTGATTACCCTCTACTGGAAAATGTCGGGCAATCACTCACCTTGCGCATTTTAGACAATAAATGCCGGGCTAAATATTACTGGCCAGCGGTAGGCCAGAATTGTTGGCTCGACAGAAGGCCAGCCATTCACTTTAGTACAGTTGAAAGTGACTTAGAGCCGGCACAGACCCGTCGATTTAGCTGCTGGCAACCAGCAGTTTTGTGGAGCTGGACCTATACATTTGTTTTTGCTGGGATTAATGGGATTGAAAATAATATTAAAATCAAACTGCTTTAGGATATTAGCAACTTGCCAACTTGTTTTAGGAAAATAGGGTAAAATGACTAAATTTTTAGATAATTCTTTGGAAGGATTATCGGTAGGCGATTGTTTAGTTAAGTTTTTATAAATACTATCAATAATGTTAGGAGAATAACCTCTGTCATGAGCAATGGTTTTGATGTAATTTAATTCTGCATCAAGAAATTCAATATTAGAACAAATATTAACAGCATGGTAGACAAAAGACCGAAAAGAGTCAAGTTTTTGGTTGGGAGGGTGGGAGGATTTGTAATGAGGGGGAGGAGACACAGCAAAAGGTTTGCGAAAGACAGTGGTATGGAATGAATTATCATTCCGAGTCACAAGAACATCTAAGAAAGGAAGTTTTTGATCAGTCTATAATTCAAAGGTAAACTGAATGCAAGAATCAATGCTGTTCATAACATTAAGAATTTGGTCTAAATTACAATTATTTTCGTCTAACAAAGCAAAACTGTCATCAACATATCTTTTATAAAAGGGGAAAGTTAAGATTTTGAATAGTTTACTTTCAAAATAACGCATATAGATGTCACTAAGTGTAGGGCTCAAAGGATTTCCCATGGCAAAACCATTGGTCATACGGTAAAATTTGTTGTCAAACGCGAACGTATTTTGTTGTAAACAAACGCGAGTGAGGTTAACAACGGGTGAGGTCCTCCCAACCAAAAACTTGCCTCTTTTCGGTCTTTTGTCTACCGTGTTCATGGGTGCAAGTTGGAAAGAAGGTCAAGACTGAAAATTTTTTGACTGAAATACCTAACATACACAATACCCCCTCGACATATGCAAACTATCTAAGAAAGCTTTACCATAATACATCAAGTTTAAATACTGTAAAAAAAATATTTATTCATCTGTCTTTTTATAAAATAACAACAGGACATAAGAAAGTAGACCAATAACGTAGACCTAAAAAGTATTTTTAAGGACAGAAAAAAAATTCCGATTTAGGTCTTCGAGTCAGTCTTGTTTCCGTCTTACTTCCGTCCGCAGACATTTTCGAAAAGCGGAAATCCGTCCTAGGGACGGAAGATTTGCACCCATGACCGTGCTGTTAATATTTGTTCTAATATTAAATTTCTTGATGCAGAATTAAATTACATCAAAGCCATTGCTCATGACAGAGGTTATTCTCATAACATTATTGATAATATTTATAAAAATTTAACTAAACAATTGCCTACCGATAAACCTTCCAAAGAATTATCTAACAATTTAGTCATTTTACCCTATTTTCCTAAAATAAGTCGGCAAGTTGCTAATATCCTAAAGAAGTTTGATTTTAATATTATTTTCAGTCCTATTAATAAGATAAAATGTTCTAATCTTAAACAGCCCATTGACAGTCAAAATAGCTAGAGTATATACCAAATTAATTGCCAATGCAGCTTTTCATATATTGGCCAAACTAAGGGTGCCTTAAAGTGCCGTGTCAAGAAACATGAAGCTTATGTCAAAAACACAAGAATTTCAACGCTCATCTATTGCCCAACTGTTGGGACTCTAATCATAATTTTAATTTTTCTTCTAAAGTCATTCAAAATTGTTCTTCAATTTTTAATTTAGATCTTTAAGAGTCTTATCACATTTTCAAAAATTCTAAACTGTTGGTCAACGACCTATCCAGCATTCCTTATCTTTCTCCTGTTTGGAAATTTATGATTAAATCTAACTACCCCCCCCCACCTTTTTGTTCCTTGCTTCCCATTCGTCGTCATCCTTTCACCCTTCCCTCCTATTGGCCGTTGCTTTAAACCCTCTTGTGACTTCACCTTTCTCTATATTTACCCTGTTTTCTCTCATTTCATTCTGTTGCACTGATGAGGGTTGCCCTTTGAGCATCCGAAACAGCTGTCTGTATTCTATAAATATTTTTGTGCTCTTTAACGCTCTTAAATCTTTCTTGTGCTTTTTTTCTTTTATGTTAGCCTTAGTTTGGATGGTGAGATGTTAATACTTCAAAAGAGTTACATCCAAATTACATATTTTAAAGGTCTGTAAAATGTTTTCCAGCTTTAAATTTCCTTTATCATCGGTGCTGATTTTTAAGGGTAACTTATTATCAAAAGCTGATTGTCCATCTTCTAAAGGCGAAGTGGATGAAATTATAAAATTGCCGTTTCGTAACATTTTGGGTTGTTTGTCTTATATAGCTATTCGGATATTTGCTATGCGATACATACATTATCACAATTTCAAGAAAACCCAGGTTTAAGACGCTGTAATACTTTATTAAGATTATTAGGTTATGTTTAAAATACTCAAAATTATTTCCTAAAATTGTCAAATATTCAGGAATTAAATATTAATTGTTACTGTTACTCAGATTTCACTGCTAATAGGGATGACAGAATCAGTAGATGGTAAAATATTGTTTTTGGATAAAACTCTGATATTCTCGAAAACTTTCAAACAAAAATGTGTGAGTCTATCTACAATGGAATCAGAGTATGTTACTTTAACTAGCGCTGCCGAAGAGGTAATGTGGATTAAGTGTATAATAGAGAGAACTAAATTTAAAAGACATAAATTTAAGTGATTGTATTATATTTAGAAACGATCAATCTGCTATTGATTTCTTCCATTCACATATTGAAAATAGTCGAACGAAGCACATCGAAGTAAGATATCATTTTGTAAGAAATTTAATTTGTGATAAACTTTATACTGTTAAACATGTTAGGAGTAAGTTTAACTTAGCGGATATTTTTACAAAGCCTTTAACTAAGTTGGAGCTGAGAAATTTTGTTCAAAAGTATTTGTGAAGGTTTAATCTTTTGGACGATTTTTGGAAAGAAACAACATAAGTGTTGGTTAAAAGAAATTTAATATTTCTGTAACATTGTTTTTTAGTTTATTAAAGTTTTTGATAAACTGTATGTGTATTTTTGTAAAAGTTGAAAGCATGAGAGGGTTCGAGAGGGTATAAGGTTTGATCGTCGTCAGTCGTTTAAGATGACGATCTCATGCATTCAACTTACGTGGGTAACGTCATGGTCTGCGTGGATAAGCCAGTTTCTTTTCATTTGCTGTTGGTCATCCTCACGTGGATCATGACGTCATCCGTTGTCTGTTTAAAGAGTATTTAAGCTTCTGTTGAAGCATTATTGTTTGTATTCATTCCTTCGTTCGTCACTCTGTTTGTGACAGTTAGTCTACCAATTTAATATGGTTTAAAAATAAATTTATTGCTTTAGAAACTTCGTTTTCATATTTGTTTTGTTGACATACCAATTCAATGACATTCTGTGACAATCTCGGCTGGCATGATGTGGGGGCCCAGGGCAACTGCCCAATATGCACCTGCCTTAGTCAGGCTACGTAATCTGTGCTCTAATTTGGCCCAAAGGTGTTATATGAGGCTCAGAGAAGGCTGTTTTGTCAAACCACCTCTGTGCAGACCTCAATGTGCGGATGGAAGAGATATTACCATAGAGTACAGCCACATATATATCAGAATTCATGTTTCCAACCACAAGGACAAACAGGCTAAACCATGAGAAACACCCTCAGACCACTTTTTACCCGGATACTTTTGGCCAGATACTGTAACAACAGATTTTAATTATTAATAATGAGATTTAACAATTAATTAATGATGATTAATTACAATAATCATTTTTAATTGCAAATATTTCATATTATTCTAAAGAGTTTAACAATACGAAGAAAAACCAACCTAATTGTGTTATCAGAACTCCCACTGACAACTAGTCTATCACGATACTGCAAACATGCTATACCTCGTTTATGGCCATTTAAAGTTCGAACAAATTCGCAAGAAGAAGTATTCCATACTTTAATAGTACGATCTCCAGATGCAGAAACAATGTACTTTTCATCAAAATCAACAACATTTACTGCAGCACGATGTCCCACTAAAACCCTTCTTAAGTTTATTTCTGATGCAGAAACCATATCCCAGACAGCAATAGATCTATCCTAAAAATTCAAACAGATAATTAATTTTTAAACAGAAGTTCATTTTATTATAACAGTCATTCTCAACCACTGTGCCACCAAAATATAGAATTGGTATAGTAAAAAATATTATACTTTTTTTATTACGAGTAAAGTTTAAATTAAAGTATTGTATATAATATTATATAAATATATATATATATATATATATACACAGTAAAATCTCGCTACAACAATATTTTGCAGACCAAATAAGGATATTGTTATATCGAGGGCCCACATAATTCTGGGACGCAATAAGATTTTTTTAAATTTAATGTTATATATTCATTAACTATAAATATATTTATATATTATCGAAAAAATTAATTTGCAAAGTGTTTATTACGGTTAAGCATTAAAAACAATGGATATAAATACAGAAAATAAGATTGTAAACTTACCTTAAAAAAACATTTTTATTGAAAAAAATCTGATATTTTTGTTTGTTTATTCATTTTTTTGACTGTTAAGTCAACCAACAAAGTATGCATTGAGTCCAATGGCCCAAAAATGATTTTCATTTGTGAATGGAAGACTTGAGAAAAATGTCTTTAGAGATTTTACGGATTGAAGAGTTTCATATGGAGACAATATGGACTGTGATTCGCATGGATCATCATCACCATCTTCTTCCTCATCATTATTTTCCATTTCATCTGTAATTTCAGAGAGAATCTCTTTAACACTTAACTCCTGCGAAAATTGTGAAACTGTCATCCACAGTTAAATAGTCCTCCACGTTAACACCATATATTTTGCCCATTTTTTTCTCTACTTGGGATAAAGATTTTTGAAGATTCAAAACAAATTCTTGATCATCTGAAAGATCACTGTCTATGGAATTTTCTTCACAATTAGAAACAGTTTTATCTTCTAAGACACATAAACCGGCCTTTTACCAAAAATTTTGAATGGTTTTTTCTGTTACTTCCCACCAACTACCAGCAATAATATCACATGCGTCCTTAACATTCACAGTTTTAAAAGGGTCTTCTACTTTATTTTCGATGTTGACAAGTATCGATTCAACCAAACGCTTCCTGTAGTATCCTTTGAAACACTTAATTATGTCCATATCAAGTGGCTGCAAAATCGAAGTGCAGTTGGCCGGGAAATAAACAATTTTGACATTGTGTAGTTTTGGAATTAAGGTGTGAGCGGTGCAGTTATCAATTAATAAAGCAATTTTTTTCTTCCTCTTTTTCATTTCTTTATCTATCTAACATTCTAACAACCATACTTTATCTAACAACCATTCAGAAAAAAACTTAGAAGTCATCCAAGCTTTTTTATTAGCTTTATATTCCACGGGAAGACTTTTCACATTCTTGAAGCACCTCGGCTTCAATGATTTGCTGATAACAAGAGGTTGAATTTAGTGTGTCCCTGTGCTATTGGCACACAGAAGAACAGTCAATCTTTGCTTTGCTTTATTACCGCCATAACATTTTTCACCCTTAAATGCCAATATTCGATCGGGTAGGAGTTGAAAAAACAGCCCAGCTTCATATGCGCTATAAACATTCTCTGGTTTATACTTTTGAAGAATATCTGTCATCTTCTCTTGCTTCCATTCATTTGCTTCGTTAATCGGAGCAGATTTTTTCTCTCCGTGAACTTCCTGGAAAGTTATTCCATGACGATCCCGAAAACGCCATTACTAACTTTAAAAGTTTTGTTCCCTAGCATTACTGCGAATTTACGAGCTTGTGCGCATAACAAGGGCCCATTTATCAGGATATTTGTTGCTCTCATCTCTTGAAACCATTTTAAGATGGCAGCATCAATGTTATCATAAGTTGCGACTTTTAGTCGTTTACGCTTTGGATTAATTAAATCTGAACTTACAGTATCTTCGATCTGTTTTCTTTTCTTTAGAAACGTTGCAACTGTAGATTGAGATAATCCGTATTTTCTAGCTGCATCAATCTGCTTCATTCCATCATCAATATCTTTAATAGCGTTAAGTTTATCTTGAAATGAAAGTTGCTTTCTCCCTGCCACCTTATGCTAAATTACACTAGTAAAAAACATCCAATATATTAAAGACTCACCAAGCTGAAAATGTTGACAGCACTAAATGCGGAAAGTTCTGATCTTAGAATTTGCGCTAGCTCATGAAAACACCAGGTGTTCCGTGTTCATATCAATATAAAGGTAGGTTCAGTGGTTTTGTTTCAATAGTTCAAAATAATTCATCGGTGAAATCAAATCAAATATAAAGATATAAATTTTTTCTTGGATTTCTTCAGAAGTTTCAATATCTTCAGAAATTGCATCTTCAGACAAAAGATCTACAATTTCATCATTCAAAAAATTCAACTTGCTTTCCTTTTCATTCAAATGTGCTAAAAAAGCTTTAAATTGTTCCAGTAATTCTGTTTTGTCATTAATCGATTCTTCAATTTTAATAATCAATTTTGTCAGTGCTGTTCGTACAGCGGTACGCTTTTTTAATTTTGCAATATTTTCTGCCATATTTATTTCTATCCAGGTAATTCAGCTTCAATGTAAATAATAAATATACACAGTGAATTTTCTGCCCTCAAGCATATGTTTGAAACATTTAATAGATAAATAGATTCCGAGAAGTTCTCGATCGTAAGTACTGTAATTTTGTTGTGCGTCATTAAGCTTCTTGGAAAAAAATCCAATCTGCTTCCAATTACCATTTTCAAGTTATTGTAAAACAGCCCCCAGTGCATTATTTGAAGCATGTGTGCTCAATGAAAGTGGTAATTCAGAATTTGGATGAGACAGAACAGCAACATTTGCCAAATCATTTTTACATTTTTCAAGCTGCTCAATAGCTTCCTTATTCCAAGTTATTTTCCGATTGTCTTTTTTCTTTGTTCCTTTCAAGTATTCATGTAAAATGGCTTGAGTACTAGCAGCGTTTTTCAAGAAACGACGGTAGAAATTAACCATTCCAAGGAAGGTTCATAGCTGATGAACAGTTTCAGGCAGTTTAATATTGCTAATAGCTTTAACTTTTTCAGGAAGGGGTTTTGATCCTTCGTTTGTTATTAGAAAACCTAAAAATTCTAGTTCCTTAACTCCAAAAACAGATTTAGAAATATTTAGTCTCAATCTATACTTTTGTAATCTGTCAAAAACTAATTTCAGGTGTGTTTCGTGTTCTTCGTCCGTAGTTGACGCAATTAAAACATCATCCAAATACGGGAAAACAAAGTTTAGTCCTCTGAATACTTCATTAATAAATCTTTGAAATGTAGATGGAGCGTTACGCAAGCCAAAACTCATTACATTAAATTCATATAAACCGAAGGGAGTAATTATTGCAGTTTTTTGCTTATCAGCTTCATTAATTGGAATTTGAAACTATGCTTTATGTAAATCCATTTTAGAAAATATTTCAGTACCCTTTCAAATGTGGTTGAAATCTTCTAGCCGAGGTATAGGATAACGATCTGGTGTTGTTTAGGCGTTCAAGCGTTGGTAGTCTCCATATGGTCGAAAAGAACCATCTTTCTTCGGTACCATGTGTAGAGGGCTAGACCACTGAGATTTAGATGGTCGAACGATATCATTTTCTAACATATACTGGAATTCCTGCTTTGCTATTTCTAATCGTTTTGAATCCAGTTGTCTAGCTTTAGAATAAGTGGGTTGTCCTTTAGTTGTAATAAAATGTTCAGTATCATGTTCACATTTAGATGCTGTCAAATAAGGCTTAGTTAAATTTGGGTATTGATGTAACAAATTAGCAAATTTAGAATTTTTATCCAAAGTACTGATAACCTCATCCACGGATACTGTCGTTAAGTGGTGTCGAACAGCCAAATTAGTTATCCCATCAATAATTTGTTTATTGTGAATATCTATTAAAAGTTTAAATTTATTCAAAAAGTCAGCTTCTATTATAGGTTTATCAATTTTAGCAAAGATAAAAGGAAATTTAAATTCTCTTCTAAGTCCTAAATTTAAATTTAAAATTTTAATTCCGAAAGTAAGAATTTCCGTTCCATTTGCTGCGCCAAGTTTAAAATCTTATAATGTTTTATTTCGATGAGTTGCAAGTATTAGACTAACATCAGCTCCTGAATCAACTAAAAATCTTAATCCTGAATTTTTATCCTTAACAAACAATCTAAACTTGCAGCTTTCATTAACATCAGCAACAGTTGTAGCCGCTAATCCTGTTGTATCATAGAGTTCTCCGACTTTTTTTGCTAAGCACATGGTGAATGACATTTCTCAGGTCGGCACCGATTACCAAATTTAAAATGATAGTAACAATATTTACCTTTCCTATTGAATGCTTTTATTGAATGACTGCAACATCGAGATGTATTTCGGTAATTATTTCTAAATTTGGATCTACTACGGTCATTTATTTGCAGTGCATTTATTGCATTCAATTTTCTGTTCTAATGCTGCTATTTATGCAATTAAAGCATCATAGTTAACATTTGGAGAAACAGTAAATATTTCTTCCCCAGTTCTCATTTCGTGAATTTTATCCGCCATCGTAGACAGTTTATCTAAACTTTCTCCACTTACAAGCAGAATATTTCTTATAAAATCCGGCATTTTATCAAGCCATAAAGATTTTAACACTTTTTCTGAAAAATCGTCTGCTCCTAAATTTTTCATTTTTTGCAAAAGTTGGCTTGGCCTGTAATCTCCAAGTTCTAATCCAGTAACTAAGCGCTCAATTCTCTTGTTTTCGCTTTCCTTAAACATATTCAAAAGTCTTTCTTTTGCCAAGGTATATATGTTAGGTTTAGTGTCTTTAATAATGTCCCAAATATTTTCTACATACTTTGGTTCCAGCTGGTATATCAAATAATTGAATTTGGTTTCTTTAGCTGTGATCTTATTTATTTGAAACTGTGCTTCTACTTGGTAAAACCAAATGTCGGGTTTCTTTCGCCAAAAAGGTGGAATTGTAATGCTTACTTTATTAGCTTCGGCGTCCATGACGATCGTTGCTTCGATTTTTTCACTGTTTTCTGTAGTCATCTCAGAAATAAGGGTCACCAATTTGTTGGGTCTTTGTGTCAACTAAATTAAATGAACGCCAATTTACGATACTACAAATAATTTTATCAAAAAAATAACATATTTTATTTCTTTAACACTTTAGAACACAACATTTTTTATATATCTAACTCAGTTGCCAAAATGAATTCAAAACTAAAACTTATAATTTTTCAAAACACGTTCAAATAAATTATTTAAATTTTATGTCTCTACAGTTCCTTTAAAATATATTTTAGAAGCTGTTTTAAGTGATATTGATTTTAAAGATGTGATTTTACATGTGTGCTCATTTTTATAATCTGTTTTAGATCTTTTGTGCTTTAAGATTTCATGCAACCGGATGTTAACAGAAAAACATTGCCTTAGATACATGTGCAAGCATGACTCAAGCAAGTGTGAGTAACTCAATAAGAAGTGTCACCATTGCTTTTAATGAGTTGATGTTTGAAGAATGCATAAAATTTCCTGTCCTTGAAAGGTAAAACCAAATTCTTGTGATACAGTACAGTAATATACAGTAAATTGGTTTCAAAGATTAGAATAATTATTCTTTGAACTTTTTGATTTTGTTGTGAAAAATATTACAGTATTTTTCCTAATTTCAACACGAATGTAAATTAATATATATATTGAATTCTGATGGCTTCTACACACATTATATGATTAATTATAAATACTAGAATAGGTAAATAACTAATACAAATGTTTGTAGAATGCTGCATTATCTTCAATTAATTAAAAGCTTATTTTTAGATCATTTATTTAGAAAAAGTCTGCTAAGCTTTCTGTTCTAAGTTAATGCGATTTTAGCTTGCATAGAAGAAGAGAAAACCAACATATCGTCGCCAGATTAATAAATTAGAATTATAGTAATTTTCTAATTGGTCAAAGTTAGTCCCGCCTACAAACTTCAATTTCACCGGAATCGTACGGAATGGCGATTTTGATGTGCTCATGTTATTGAAAAGTGGGTTTTACGAAATTGGCAATCCGATGAAAGGTAGTTTCCGAGCGAAATAAATTTCGGTGAGTTGGTAATAGGGCCCTGAACTCACTTTGACAGAGAGCTCAAAGCCATCTATGTTGCTCTCCAACAACTTACTGTTCGTCTTGCCTGTCCTGAGAAAGCTAGGATTTTTTCAGATTCTACTTCTGCCCTTCAGGCAACACCGAAAATAGTAGTTCCCTTGTTTTGAGCTGTAGAGAACTCCTTAAGAGGATTGAGGGAAGTGTTGCATTTCAATGGGTCCCATCACACTGCGGTCTTTGAGGAAACAAAATAGTTGACTTTTTGGCCAAAAAAGGAACTTATATTCTTCAGAGATCCTGTAGAGATCTGTCCTTCCATTCCGCTAAACTTGAAATAAAAAGAATCTTCAAACAATCATTTCATTGTTTGGCATCTCACGCTGCTACAGATAAGTCCTGGAATGTGCTCTGTGTAACTCACAGTGTTCCAATCCGGATTTACTGCAATAGCCATGTTTAGACTTTTGACCGGACATGATTGTCTACGTTCTCATTTATTTCGCCTCAAGCTGGCTACTTCATCAGAATGTCTTTTATGTAACTCCGGACAAGACATGACTGCTCCGCATTTGAACATGTGCTCTGCACTTGACTGTATTGTTAAGAAGTACTGGAGAGCTAAAAGCCTAATGACATAATAGTCAATGGCTGGCATTTGTTTAATAAAAATAATTAAACAAAATAAGATAAAAATGCACACTTTGCAAACAAACATACTTTATTTTTGATGGAATTAGATTTATCAAAATATAAGGGGCAACCACAATCTGGAAAAAAATAGTTTAGTCAGGTGACCAGAAGAAAGTTTAGCCCTCTTGATATTATTTATTTATTATTTTTTTGTGTGCATATTTTGACACATCTCGAACCAAATCAAAAGTTTTTGCTTATAATTATTAAGTCTGTTTATACGAAAATAATTTAATATACAAAATTATTTTTAATAATTCTTTAATAATATTTTTCTCAAAAATGTTGGATTAATATTTCAAGATTATATACAGATGTATGGTAAAAAAAATATAGATGTTGAATGGATATCAATAACAAAATAAACACTATATTTTAAAACTTATTTTCAATATTTAGTAAGTATAAAATTTTTTTTCTTTGTTTCATCACAAATCAAAACTTAAGGATAAGTATAACAACTCTTAATAATTTATATTTGGTATACTAAAATAATTAGATAAATCAGGGTGCGTAGCCAAATCTTTCAACAAAAAATAAGCACCTTTTAAGTACATTTTAAGCACTCAAAAAATATTTTTCAGCACTATATACATCAACAAAATGCAAAATAATTTTCAAAGACTTTACATGATCATGAAAAAAATTATTAGTTTCTGCTAAGGAACTTTTTTCTTGATTATATTAGCCATTATAAAATAATCAAGAGATTTTTTGGTTTGATATCAGATGGTGGAAAAGGAAGCCTTTGGATTGAAATTTTGTCCACATCTCCTGCACAAGTTATTCACACTTTTTTTAAATTTATTTTCATATTTACTTAATATAATTACCTCAATTTTTCAATCAAAAAGTGCAAGAATTCGAAATTACATAATACTAAATGCAAAATATTAGTGTAATGAAACATTGCAATGCACCGAAATATCATGTTAGAGTGACGATACATCACAATGCTGAAATCTTAACATCACACAGTCCTACTGCCATATCAAAAACCAGTTTTTGTCATCAAAAATCTAACCCTATTTGCCTGACAACCCATTTGAAGTAAAGCATAATGTAATCATAACCAAAATTTTGTAATAATGACGATGACATTGTCTGAGCTTATTTTTATGAAGTTAAGAAGTAAATTTTTTCTATATTTTGTTTATTATTGAGGTATAATAAATTAAAACCTAAAATACTACACTGTTAATTTTTAAAAGCAGTAAAGCTAAAGAATTTTGATTAGTTTGATGATAAACTTGTCAATGGTTTATAGCCAATACATTACCTGTGTCTCTGTGATGGAAAAGATATTAAGAAGTTTAGAACTACAGTCAAATCCTGTTTCAGCAAAAATTTCAATGTAACAAATATTTTTAAAATCTCCATAGAAACAATGGATTAAAAATACCAATTTTACGAAATTCGTAATCCAATTTAATGAAGGTGAAAATAAGCAACAATTATCATTTTTTTTTTTTCAGGATCAAAACATTTTTCCATTCTTTACAAGTATAAAATGATCTAAGAATATTTTTGCATCTTCAAAATAAAAAGTTTCAAATATTAAAGGAACATGAGAAGAATCACTTGAAAGGGACCACCCAGTAAAGACTATACCCCAACCCATTCATGTTACTGCAGACAAAAATGCACATGTGAAGCATTGGCAGACTATGACATTGTTCGTATCATTTAAGAAAACTAAGAAAATCACTTCCCGACAGCAGTGATGACTAAGAATATATAGAAGAAAACTTTTCTGCACCTACAGCTTCACACGCCAATTTGGAAATATTAAAGAAATATTTATCGGCACAATAAAATTTTTCAGTTACTTTGTTTGAAAATGTGAATAATTTGGAGAAGTTTGTAATTTCTACAGGAATCAACTGTAATTGTTAAACATCAAAAGTTATATTAACCATTCAAGCATTGAGCTCTGACATAAAATTAAACTTAAATTTAAATTGTACTAAGTTAGTAGTACTTTCACAGGTAATAATTCAAGAGAAACTGGTTTTTGTGAATTCCTGCATCTGAAAGTTCGAAAATAACCAGGACTAATGCTCAAAGCACTTAGAAAACGGAGAGTAAAACTAAGTTTAAGAGGCAGAAAGTTAGAAAACTATGAGTTATTCTTAAGAATAACTTACCTTGGAACATGTCACCATTAGCCCATTATTGAAACGGAGATGAAGTACAGCTTCACAGTGATGAATCAAAGTGTTTAATATTTGACCAGATGACACATCCCAAACTCTAAAGTAATTTCAACAAACATTAAATGTATAAAACTCATTATTAATGTTAAAAAAAGTACACTAAATAATACAATTTCTTAATTTGTACCTAACAGTAGAATCACTAGAACCACTAATAATGACTTGTTCATCATATTGGAGGCATAAAACAGAGCCAGTATGTCCAGTTAATACCTACAAAACAAATGTAAAACTAGTTAATGAGTTTTTAACATGGGCAATAAAAGAATGCAAATGAAGAAAAATTATAAAGGCTTACAACCAAAAAAGTGACTAGAAATCAATGGTGATTAAGATAAACTTTTGGATGTTGATTTCCAGAAAAATTGTGAAAAAAATTCCACCAGGCTCCATGTTTTTATAAATTGAAAATTTTGATTTTTGCAACCTCATCTTTGTACATTTAATATTAAGAAAGAAAGAAACATTACTCATCACTACCGGCTAAAGCGAGAGGTATTTAGGCTAGTTTGTTATGTGACTAATAAAAATGTATACTTATTTTTTTATTGATGGCAAAATGGCTCTTATTTGAGGGATGAAACTAAAATATTCCGAATTATAAAAATAAGGTATTGTTTTGAATTGATATTATTACCCATGAATAAATGAAAACAAGCTATGTCTATAGAACTAAAGGTTGAGAAGTTATTAATGTTTTATGCATGAAAGATACAATTTTAAGCACCTTTAAGTACTTTTTAAAACTGCTACAGATAAATACAGCATAGACTTAGAGACGATGTAGATAACTGTAGACTAGAGAACACTATGCTCCTCATTTACTCCGCAAGTTTTTAAAATCATTAAAAAAAATTTCCTAATAGCAGAAAATATATGTTACATAGTATTTAGAAATATACTAACTTGAACACATTGTAAAGTACTACGATCCCAAACTTTTATAGTATTATCACGAAGACCACTGACAATTTTCTGATCATCATATTGTAAGCAGTAGACACCTTTACTATTTTCACTACGGCAGTTTATCCTTTGTAAATTATGCCTTCCACATCTCCAGTTAGTTTCTATGCTCTGAAAAATTTATGCATTAGAAATTAAATAAAGTCTGCAATTCTGCATTAGAATCCCGATTATTCCAGTTAATGTGAACCATGATTAACTCGGATAACCGAAGAGTATAAAAAAGGAAGAAAAAAAGAGTAGGTATAAAATATATTTAACAAATAAAAAATTTATACGAGCACACCACTTACAATTCATATTATAATTAAAAAGCTTACTTAACACTTAAAGAGTATACTTTACGAAAATTAAAGAGTTTTTACTTAAACTCTTTAATCATTTTTGGTTTTACATTACTTTGGTGCTCTTTTGTAGCAATGTTTCAACATTTTTTTAGGAATAACAAAGAGGCTGGTGTTGCCTCTTTCTGTCGTTCAATATATTCAACAACACTTTTGATAGCTTTTAGTCCATCTGTATGAGAGACTTTTATATGTTGATTTTCATTATCGTTGTCCTCACCATCTTCGCTAGATTCATTTTCATTATTGACGATATTAAGGATGATTTCATTGGATTAAATTGGTGGATTTCGTTTACCTTAGTGTTTGGAAGATAAAATTCAGAATTTTTTCGGTGGTAGTTTAAAAATAAACTAGAACAAAAAAAATCCTTGAAACATTTGATAGCTCGGTTAAAGCAAAAAATCGAATAATTGAGACTGTACTGTGGTTTCTTTACAAACAAAAATATTAGAATCCATTAATATAACAACTAAATGTAGTGCAAAACTTACAACCTGTTTAAATAAATATTTTACTTCTCGGAAAACAGAACAAAAATTGCTAACGGATATTCTACAGTACTTGACAACTGCGCTGAGGAACAGATAGTTTTCAGAATAATTAATAATAGTTGATTGATGAAATGAAACTAAGTACAGTAGGACCTCTATTTAATGAAGTCGATAAATCCCGAAAAAAAGTTCTTTATATGGAAAATTCGTTAAATAGAAAATCACCTTTTGAAATACTTACATAACACAAAACAGGTTTTAAATTCATAAACACTAGAAATAATTAAAATTGCAATTGATACACCTTTATCTTGTAAATTATTATCCATTATTTATTTTATAAAATTTAACTATAAAAGAAATCTGCAAAGAAAATAAAAATAGAGCAAAACATTATCCACTGAATAAAAAGCTAAATTTTTATACATTAGAATTATTGCTGCATTTATTATAAAAGTAATTTTAAACATAGATTATCACATGCATTCTTAATTTTAATTGCTACTGATAAAGTCCATTAATTTTGCCCGAGGTTTTTATTTCAAAAAGTGTTTTTTCTCATAATAGAGGTCTCGCATTTTTGTAATGCACCAAAAATTCCTTCAGGCATATTCTCCTCAAACTGCAACCCATGTCGAATTGTTTCAAATGATTTTAACATTTTATCATATAAAGGTCTGCTAATTTCTTCATCATTTCCGTCTTCATCTTCTTCGTCTTCCACAAAATTTTTGGCTGCATTGTTTTTATTTTTTACACCGTCCAAAATATCAGATTCATTTAATGTTCCGGTGGTTTCAGCTTCAGAATCAAGAGAAGGAAAATCATTAATTCGTACATCATTAATTTCGTGGTTATCTCTTAGCTGTACCCTCATTTTTTTTAAAGTTCTTCTAAAAGAATAAAAGAATATCATCATCCTCCTCTACACTTTCCAAATTCTTAGTAGACAAAGAGTTCAGCTTTAGCAAAATTTTTACGAATGGTACGATCTGTAACATCATAGTTCCCTGCTTTAGAAATTTCTATTATGATTTCTTGCAAATATTTATGCTTTGGCATAGATTGCTTATTTCCAGGTGTAGAGAGAGTTTTTCGTACAATTCTGAAATAAACCCGTCTCATCAGTATTAAAAATGTTTTCTGGCTTATAGTCGTTTAAAATTTTATTAAGAGTCTCTGTAATCCAACTTTCACAATCTTTATCATTGACGTCATTACTTTCACCAGATATAACTTTTGCCATAATTCCCTGTTTTTTCTTAAACGTATCAAGCCATCTACTACTTCCTTGAAATTCATCATGTCTTAATGTCTTTGCAAATTGAATAGCTTTCTCAGTTATTAAATGTCCAGAGATCGGAATGTTTTCTATCTCGCATTGTGTGTATCAACTTCAAAACTGCCTCATTCACATCTTCATAGACACATGTTTTTAATCGTTTCGAACAAGGATTCGGTAAATCATTGTTTACAATTTTATCACAGTTTCTTATCATCGTTGATAAGATGTTTGAAGGAATACCAAATTTTGAAGCAACATCTTTTTTTTCACACCTTTGTCCACCTCTAGAAGAATTAAACCTTTCTCTTCAATGGTCAGGCACTTTCACTTCGACATTTTACAGTCGCAAGAACATCAACAAACAGCACTCTGATCAGCAATCTAAAAACAGCAGGCGACTTCAAGGAATGGGGCTCTACTAAGTGAAAAAGGGGAATGTTGAAAGTTTTTCTAGAAGGGAAGTGAACAGCGGGGGTAGGGGTGGGGATAAAGAGACCATAAGTCATGGGACATGTCAATAAAGGACCAGGGACCACACACTTTGAAGACCCATTCCCTCTATCTTCCCTGCTCATTTCCTACTCAAGGAATTTGACCCTTTCCCCCTTTTCAAGAGGTGTTGAATTTCCTGTATGAAATGCAAGCAAAAAGGGAAAGAAATTTTACTGCTTTCTCTTAAAGTTAAGTGGATGCGAAAATCAATTCAAGGTCATTTCCCCTATAGAATGTGTTAACAAATTTATAATTTTCTCAAATATTTTGGGAAATTGAGAAAGTAGATTTCAACAAAAAAAATTCGTTAAATAGAAAATTCACTTAGCTATTCCGAAGTTAATTTACAAATAAATTTCCAAAATGTTCTTGGTTCAACGAAAAATTCACAAAATAGAGAAATTCGCAAAATTGAAGCTCGTGCAACAGAAGCCCGACTGTACATATTTAGTAGAGACAATGTGTACTTATCATTATGCAAAATAGCTCAGATATTGACATATTGAAAAGTAATAAAATTAAAAATAAAAAAGATGCACACTGGAAGATTTCCAAACAGCCACGAAAAATGAGTCTTCTTGCCAGAATTAAATAGAAATGAGTGCCTCAGTAAAAATACCTCGCACAATAATGTAGTTTGCATCTGTTTGCATCATACTGTTCACTAAACTATCCAAGAGTCCTTGTGACCTTGTCCTATTTGTTCCACTCCTCAAGCAAGGCACTTTTCAGCTCTTCTACAGTTCAGCAAGAGCGTGTTCTTTGTGAAATATGTCTGCCAAGGGCATCCTAGACATACTCTATAGGATTTAGATGTGAGGAGTATGCAGGGCATTGTATACAGTCAATATCTTTACTTTCTAGTGTGTCTAATACCTCAGTGCACCTGCGTGGCTGTGCTTTTAATCCATAAACAGAAAGTCTAAACTAACTCCAACCCTAAAAAGGAAAAAAATGATCAAAAATAATCTCTCTGGAATACCACTGACCTCGTTCAAAGACGTGAGATGGTGTTTGGTACTTGATGTCAGCCATTCTATGCATGCCTAGGCCATACCAATTACTTTCGTGAACTTCTTGTTATGAACAATATGTTCCCCTCTCTCTCCACACTATCTGGTAGCCACAATCACTTGTCATCAGTAGATTGTCAGCGAACACTCTGCACCACTGCTGGTTACCCTAATCAATACCTTCCTTTAACCAATGAAATCTTTCTCAACGAGACCGGGATGCACCGAACAGGTTTCCATACATGCAAATCAACTTGATTTTATCGCAGTGAGATGATTCTAGGAAAAGTGTGTATACCGGCATAGTTTGTCTAAAGTAAGAACGGCCCTAGCAATTAGTTAGGACCTGTGGTGGTGACTATGATAAAGAATATAACTATTTCAAGTAGGGGTGAGGGGTCACTGTTTAGGACAGGTCTTGGCTTGGAAGAGAAAGGGAATCTTCGTCGGTATATTGTGAAAGTCGTAGAGTGAAGAGAAGCTACCCTCCCTGAAATGTGCTATTCTTGTTTCCATAGCAGCAGACGGCCTCAGAATTCGCTACGGGGAAGTTCTTATCATAGACAAACTATAGTTGTTGCAAGGACTGATATCTGACTAGGAGTGACATTACTGTTCCCTTTCGCTACTGGGGATACGTATAGTTACTCTTGAGGTTATAGTTTGAGGCTATAGTTACTCGTTTCCAACTTCAGCAATCTCTTTTAATTGCGAGATGACGCTCCTTTTACTGCGGCAATGGTGGTGACATTTTGACCTGATCCTTGTAGTCTAACTGCTCGACCACACGATCATAAGAACTCAAACAATATCTTGCTAACATTTCACACTTAACTATTGCAACACCACACTGGATTTCACAGAAATAAGTTCAGAAACTTATGGTGCTATTTTGGTCAAATACCTAACATTATAAATTTTCGAATGAAGGAAGAGATTGTGTGCACTGCCTTTTATACAGATAACGGGTACTCCTCCATACTTGCCAACATTGGAGAAATAAAATAACAGAGATTTTACTAACCAACCCAATTTTGGGTTTATGACTACTGCTGTTCAACTCCGTAGCCTTGAGATTTTGAGCCCAACCCAGAAGACAAGGAAACTCCTGGATTAAGTATTGGGAGAAATTTGCTATAGTGGAAAACTTTTTTATGGAAATAACCGGCATTTGAGTTACACGGAGAGGAAAACCTTGTAAACCTCCCATGGTTAGCCTGGCAACTAGGGGACTCTAACCTGTGATCCGTCTACCACTGAGGATATTTCACACCAGCACTGGGGTCAGTGCAAGCCGGATGCGGAATTCGTATCAGCCATTCATTGCTGGTATTCGAACCTGGGTTCACCTCAGTGGAAGGTGAACGCTCTATCTCCTGAGCCACCTTAGCTCAACTTAAATAATTAACACTGAACATACTGCAGTACTGGCAATAGCAGAAGTATTTTTGCCATCGGCGGATATGTTATCACCAATTTTTTTTGTTTTGTTTTAATTTCTTTAACAAATACGGAAAAATTTGAGAACATACAGGTAAACAGGAGATAGTTGTGAAATATAGGAGTCTTTGTTAAAAAACAGGAGACTTGGCAGGTATGCTCCTCTACACTTGATTTTACTGCTATTGGTTGGCTGTCAAGAATGCTACTTTGCATAAATCCATGGTGTTAATAGCATGCAGGGCCACCGGGCACAAAAATGTTTTAGACCCCTATAACATCACAATGTTTAAAAACGAACTAAAAAACTTCACATACATAAAATAAATCATTTTTAAACTATACAATAATTTTAACAAATTTAAACACATTACGATTAGCTCAAAAACTTGTATAAAGCAGTTTTATACTATGCATAATTTTAAAAAAATTATATGCTAACTAGTTGCAATCTTCAAATAATAAAATTATTTTCGAAACCATGGAAGTTGATTAAAATAATTAAATTAAATAAACATAAAGGTATAACAAATCAAAAAAAGCTAAAAGGTATAACAAATCAAAAAAAGTTAAAAGGTATGAATTATTTTGTCAAACTAAATAGTTATTAAAACATCTTTTATTGCCTAAGTACCTAAAGTTTTCATTGGAATGTTGTGATAAACTATTCAAATTATTAGTTTTTGCAAGATAATCAATCATTATTAGCTGAAAAAAATTCACACTTTAAACAATAGAGTACATTTATTTTTAAAAACAAAGACATTGTTGTTTGCTCTTAGTTTTTTTAATACAATTTATAAAAAATAAGATTATCAAGGGCACTGCCTGGGTGTGCTCATGCGTGAAGACGGTATTGCATAAATCAGTTGTTCCTTATCAATTTTCAAGCAGTGTATTTAAAAACTGCCGGTTAAATGCATACGAAGAAAAAAAAAGGATCATAGTAGAATTATTTTGAGCTAATTAAAATTTAGAAAATATAAGATAAAATATTATATGGGTTGACTTTACGACATATAATTTGGAAAAAAAATATGTTTTCATATAATTGGGATTTAATTGCTTTTGGCAAATATTGAGAATACAAATAAAAAGTAAATATTTCTAATCAATCCATCTTTTTTAGAAAACAATCTTTTATAACTACTTCATGTGAAAAAATGAATACAGCAAAAAATGATCATTCAATAGGATTGCCACTCACAATTTGGATTTACCTGTGTTTTTCCTATATTAAGACGACACACACATGTACTGTGCTCTTGTGCGATGCTAGTTTTAGTTGCTGGGAAATCAAATCAACATAAAACAAACAATGCTATAATAAATAAAAAATATAATATAGGTCACTATCATCTTTACATATGCTACATTATGATTTGAGAGGTCAGCATTTTTTAAATTCAAAAATAAGAAATAAATTTCCCAGTTTGTAAAGAAAAGTTCAAAATTCCCAGCATTTTAGATGATTTTTAAATTCCTGTATTTTCCAGATTTTCCCTGTGGAGTGGCGACCCTATTCAATAAAAAATTTAATAATGATTACCTCAATATCTTGAATTATTTTTGGAAATAAGCGTCTATAAAACAATTGATCAGGATGCAGTTCACCAGGAGCAGGTTTGAATAAATACTTTATCCTAAAAATGATTTTAGAAAATAAGTTATTGTCTAAAAATTCAAACGTTAATTTGACAAAATTAAAACTCACCATTCACGTCTTTCAGCTAAACCTTTCCATAACGAATCTGTTTGAACTCTACGCTCAATCAATTTCTTCCAAAGCATACCTTCAGATACCACTCGGTACCATTCTTTAGAAACAAGCTCAGCAGCACATAATGACTTAGCATCGAGATAGGAAAGTATATTTTCTGCAACATGATCTAGACCTTTTTCTGAAAATAAAGAGTCCTCATTCTAATTATATATGTAAAAGACAACAACAACAACAAAAATCTCAACTTAAAGCAAGAAACATATACATGATTTCTACAGCTTTTTCATTGTTATGATAAATAAAGTCCTTATAGCTATTTCTATTTCAGCTTCACTAAAATATCTGAAATAAACCATATTTTCAATATAGAGAGACCTAAACTTATTTTCATTTTTCTTCAACCCAAAGAAAATTCATTTTGAAAGTAACTATAAAACACTTTCCCAATTTTTGAAACAAAATGATTCGATTAATGTTTAATCTTGTGATTTAGGCACCAAAAATGTCAAAGAAGTTTTTAAAACTACTAATTTATTTGACTTCAACACAAATTATGTGTGAAATTATTAATTACACTGGGGAGCAAATTTTTGGTTGCATTTTTTCAAATACTCGATCTTGCCCAACTGAGAAGAAAAAGTATTAAATAAAAAAAAAACAATTAAGAATTGTATTCAGTACACTTATCAGCTAACGTTTTAGTTTAATGCTGCTTTAAGGGGAGAAAAAATTTAATTTTGATAATTTTAAACAAATATAATAACTGGTACAAAAAAATTTATAAAAAAATATATAGAAAGACTTTAATGGATTTTGGCCTTTTTAAAGAATAAATATTTTTTTTTAATTAAATGATTTTTTAGTACTTAAATGTCTAAAAAAATTTCTCATAAAAAAATAATTGATTTTTCTAAAAGCAGGGGATAGATTTATACTCGGGTTTCCAGTTTTTCTTTCTGACTTTCTTCTCTGAAAGTGTGGAGGGTAGCCATATATGCAAGCATATGGATGTTTGACTCTATGTAAACAATAATAAGCTTATTAAAACTGGAAGAAAGTTAGAAAACTTCCGGTGTATTCCTCTGCTTATGTCATGCTTATGGGGGGATGTGTGAACAGGCTTAATATTCTAGGAAGCTTTATTGTGATTTATGTTTCAATTTACACATAATTTTACCATTCCTAAGAGTTTTCTGTAATTTATAAATTCTAGCGATTCGTGAGCTTAAAACGAATTTAAGAAAATTATCACAACAGAAATAAACTGTAATGTTCGTCATGTTTTGAGAATTATCCCTTATTAGACTACATTAATGTAAAATATCACAGCTTGTTATCTTTTGTATAGCATCATAGCATGCTTGCTGAGTCTTCCGAATTCATTTGTTGTTTGTTTCGTTGAAATTTAAATTGAATGAAGGCTTTATATTGCAAACACTATACAAGTATAATGATATTGAAAGGCCCATTTTTTTCAATCTTAGGCACAAAAATAAATCGTAACTGTAACCCGGAAGTCTTACAACTAATTTTAATTTCTAGCGCCATCTGTGCTTAGCTTTACACAGTCAACCATACGTACTGTATTTTTAAAATCAATTTTATAATTATATAGGGAAGAAGGGGCTAGTGTGAACAAGAACAGGGTGGCCACTCAAATGAGGTTTCAAATTTCCCTGATTTTTCCAGGTTCTCCAGTAAAAATCTTAAAATTTCCAGGTCAGCGTGTTTTTTCTTCCTCCTAAAGTGTAGTATAAGTACAAGAGAAAAGTGTCAATATTAGTGTATTAGTCAATATAATAGTATAGTATTTCATTTAAAATGTTATTCTTTTAATATATCATCTTGAATAGATGTGGAGGAAACAATATGTTTAGCTTGCAGAATAAAAAAATGAATGAATTTTTAATGAATAAAAAAAATATTTAATTGTTAAATAGTTTTGCACAAAATGTAGCAATGACCCAAAACAACCTTAGTAAGTACTGTTTAATATATTTTTATTAAGCAAAAGAAAATAATTCCAGGTGATTAGAAACCAATAAATTTTTATATTTATTTACATTTCAATATAGAGCCATTTTATACTGTATTTATCCAAACAGTGCTCTTTATAAAATTCATTGATATAATTTTCTTTAAACCAGTACCATAAATCAAAAGTTTAAATAATGTTGTTTGCTTCAAATTAGCACTATTATTTTAAGACATATTCAGTATTTGTAAATGAAAAATTGTCAAATTTCTTGTCGCATATTTTATAGAGAAAAAAAAACTAGATAAAATTCTTTAAATTTTATTATTTTTTTTCTTCTTTTTCTTATTAGAAATTAGAATATATAAAGAGTTCCAATCTAACATGGTTTCCGTGTTTAGATGAGTAAATTGTTTTTACATCTGGACAATTCCATGGTGTCGGAAAAAAATGAACATTAATTTCTTAGAAAAACTATCTTATAAAACAAAAGTTTATACTCATCAATTTTTTACATTAAATATTTAGTAAATCATAACCTATCAACAAACAATTTGTTTTATAAAAACTGATTATTATAAGTTCAAATTAAATGGATTAAATTTTTGCTGTCAGATGTAAATCGCACGAAAGTAAAAAATTATTACTAATTTGCGAATTGTCTAAACTCTGTGAATTTGTTTGTAATTTAAATGTAAACTTGACTGAAATTTGAAGCTGACATTTGAATAAAAAATTCCATGCAGTTCCTTCTGAAATATGCATAATTAATTTGAAATTTTTTATTTCAGTGTCAGACGTAAATTTCTCAAAATGGATAGAAATTTAAGTTAACCCACTGGCGGTTAAGGAAATGGGCAAAATTGGGAGAATGTTTCTCCCCTACACACAGTTCCCCTATCAGTTAACATGGGAAAACCGGTTTTGCTATGCAGAGAAGACTGCAGGTTAAAATGCGACTTTTTACGAGCAGAACCGTCAGTGGGTTAATGATAACATTATAATGACTGAAAATTACTTTAATTTTAAACTTAATGCTACAAATAATTTCCTATTGGAATGGTTGGATTAATATGTTTTATAACATTTTCCATCTTATAAAGTTAGTTGAAAAATCACTCATTTTAACTATGCTACATATATTAACAATGTAGTATTAACATCAATATCAATGTAATATATTAACAATATAAATAAAATACTGAAAGAAAACACAAATAATTAAATTCGAAAAGGATAAAACTTCTTTCAAAAAACGCGCTAAGAAGCAGCAGAAATTTCAGAAAAAAGTATCAATACAAGAAAAATGAAA